AACTTGGGGACATATCATTTCTATAAAAAGACTTTCTACCTCTCCATGCCAGCACCTGGTATGGAACCTAGCTGAGGTGTTGGGGGCACAGTGAGACCTTGACACAGTGTGCACTTAGATTGCAGTAGTTGGTCCCTGTTCATCTAGCTAGCCTCTGCCATCTTCCGTGTTTATTGAAGTTGCCTCTCGCCGGTGTCTCTTCAGTTTCCTTCTGCTACCTTAGTTGGTGTGGGAGGGAAAGCAGATGAACACATCCACCATATTCAACTAGAAGTCTGAGGAGGACTCTTACGACTACTAAGGACATATCACAGTTTTGATGGTGATCTGAACATTTAGCATGAACCTTCTGCTTCAGCCAGATGACCATCTTACAGCAGGATGCTTCTGTATATCATTTAAGCCATTGCAGTGTAGCCGCTCTGGCTAAGGAGTCACCCATTGCCACTGAGGGACAGCAAGGAAGTACCGGACTGTATTGTGGGTCAAGACTCCCCACATCTCAGGCAATGGAGGTGGCATTAAGTCATCTACATGTACATGGTAGTTTGAGATACCCAACTTAGTGCCGTATATTTGCTTTTAGTATCAGTCTAACTTTATAAAACAATTTCTACCATATTAAATTGATGTTAATTTAAATTTTATTGGTTTTGTAATTTTGTTAGTATTTAGTGTATATATTTATTTTGGTTTTAGCGCTTGTCTAGCTCTGAAGAGAGTATTTCTAATTTTAGATTCATATATATTTACATAGCTTAAAGAAAATTATTTCCCAGCATGGACAGTCATGGGAATTTCTCTTTTAAAAGATTTAGTCCATTTTAATTAAGTTTGAAAATAACCAACAGAGCTAGAATACCATTAATTGTATAATTCTGTATACCTTCTGGGTATAAATGACATGAATTTAGTCCTTTGTAATCCAACACAAGTATTTTCATTTTATTTAAGTAAATTGTTATTTTGAGTAATTTAAGGGTGACACATCATCATCATCACCATTATTACTATTACCAGGGCACCAGAGAGAAATGGGGGTATTGAAGAGAAAGCACCCTCAATAGGGTGTAGCCACACCACAGTCCCTTCTTCTCCATCTCTTCATCCTGTTGGGATTTGGGACATGTTTTTGAAGTCATTGGAGCCAGGGTTCAAACCTCAGTTGGCCATATGGGATGTGGCTCCCTTAACCACTGTGCTACAGGGCCAGCCAAGAGTGGCACTTTTTGTTTGTTTGTTTGTTTGTTTTCCTTTTTGTTATAGGGTGCTCATTCACCAGAGAGAGGAAAAGTGAGAAATTATGCTGTAGGGAGATGACCACATCTTAGTCCCTTCTCCTCCATTCTTCTCTTAGGATTTTGGGCACACAGCACATATATTGGTGTGTTTATCTTCTTTTTAAGAGATATTTTTACTATAAAGTGTGTGTGCTCACTGGAGAGACTGAGAGACAGAAGGTGAGAAATCACCCCCAAGGGGAATGGCCTGCAATCTCTTGTCCTACAGTCTCCTCTTTGGATTTTGGGCATGCACACACACGTGCCCTGTGTGAGTTTTAAGCCACTGGGTCCAGGACTCTTAACTGTGGTCAACTACTTGAGAGTCCAGAAATGTAACCATTACACCATCTTCTGGCCCCAACCTCATTTGATTTTCAAGCTGTTGGGTCCAGGACTTGAGCTGTGCAGTAAGCCACATGGGATCCAGCATCTTAATGACCATACTATCTCCTGGCCCAAGTGACACTTGTAATAAGAAACAGCCTAATCTTTTTCCAAGTCAGATTTTTTGAAAAGGAAGTTCTCACCAGTGGCATTCAAATGTGATGTCAGTGAACAATGGCAAATTCAGTAATAGCTAGTTCTGTGGATGTTGGCTGGAAATTATTTACTAACAGTTACTTGATTAAAATGCTTGTGCAGTAGATTGACTTCATGGCCTAGTGGTTATGGGAGCTGGATCTCACATGGCCAGCATACAGTTCATGTCCCAATCCTGGCCGTTTGGAAAACACCAAACATGTGTGCATGCATGTCCCAAATCCTGATGGGATGGAGTGATAGGAGAAGGGATTGTGGTGTGACTACACTCTACTGGAAGGGTGAGGGGTGCATTCTCCCTCTCCCTGTCACTCTGTCTCTTTCTCTTCCTTTGAGAAAACACTTGCACCTTCTGGGAAAAAAAAAAATTGCGCAGACCTTTAAAAATTGTTCTTAAAGGGGCTGACAGGTGGCGTGGTGATTAAAGGTGTTGGATTCACACAAGGCTGACTGCAGTTTGAGTCCCAGACCTGGCAACTTACTTTCTCCCTTTCCCTCTCTGTTTCTCTCTGGTCGAATTAAAAAATAACAAGTGGAATTAAATAAAGAACCATTTTAAAATAAAGAATTGCATTCTAGTATTGGCACTTCTTTGGGAGTTTTTCAAATATTAGGACATCGAGGAAGTCATGACATGTTTTCTGTGCAAAAATGTGTCTGACTTTCCTGACAACCCAGTCGTTTCAGTCATTGGTGAGGTAGTTAAGGCAGTGGATTCCACATGGCCAACCCCGTGTTTTGAGTCTTGGACCCGGTGGCTTGAAAAAAACACTCGGTGCATGTGCATACATGCCCAAAATCCCAAGAGAAGAATGGAGGAGATGGGATTGCTGAATAGCCACTTCCCCCTGTGATATACTTTCTCATTTTTCTTCTCTGTGTCTCTCTGGTGAGCACATATGCCCTATGGCAAAAATCTTTAAAGTAAATAAATAAAAAAGAGTACCACTTGGTTCCTAGTAAGCCCTCAGCCAAGGATTGATAATATTAGTATGACTAAGTATTAGCTTACTGAGGACATTATCATTTTTTGGCAATTTTTAATGTACTCTCTTTCCTCCAAGTTGGATCCATTTTTTTATTAGTAGATTGGTTGTTTACAGTAGTCATTTAGTAGTTTTGTCTTGAAAAGTTTCCAAATTTTTGGCCAAGTAGTGGTATAGTAGTCATGTTACTGGACCCACATGGGAAAGATACAGAATTTAAGTCCCAGAACCTCAGACTGGATAAATGCCTTTTATATGAGCCTGCTGAGAATGGGGGTGAATTGCAGGATAGGAAGCCATTTGGGAATGCCTGCCTGTCTTTCTTGCATGGAAAAATAGATGATTAAATCTATTAATTTAAAAAAACACACAAACTGATTTTTTTGTGCTTTAATGATAACATGGGTCTTAAGTATGCAGAATAATCAACTGCATGCCCTTTGAGTTGATGCATGTCAGCTGGGGCGAGTTTGTAGGGCTCAGCAGTTCTTAAACTTCTGGCACTGCTAAGGTGTCAGTTTTGTCATAAGGTAAGGTCAGATTGGCTCTTCCAGAGGCTGTGCCCACACTTGTCCTCATTCAGGTCAGCACTTGACAGAGCTTTGAGCTACAGAGAAACCAGCTTTCTCAAGAGTCCATCATGGAACTTTTCTTGAAAATATAACATCTTTTCCAATTCACAGACCTGGAATGTTTTCCTTGATTTAATAGTCAGTGTCATTTAATTCCAGATTGATTCTTTCTAAACTGTAGGGTTATTAGCTTTAGAGCACTTGAGGACTTTTTCATTCCTGATATTTATTATTTTTGTAACTAACCTGTGGTCTTTTATCTTTAGTGAGTTGATGACTTTTGAGTCATCATTATCAATAAGAGTAGTTATATCCAGACAGTGAAATAGAACTTGAACTGCCTATAATATTTTTTTACAGAAGCCAAAAAAAGTTACTGCATAGAAGATATTTCTATCACTGTTGTATAAGAATCAGATTTGTTGTTTTAAGTTAATACTGGGCATGCATTATAAAATTAGGCAACATTCTTGTAGGACACATTTTTTTCTTTGAAAAAACTTTTTTTTTCTTTTGCTATAGAGTGAATGTATTCACTAGAGGGAGGGAGAGGAGAAAGCACCTCCCCATGAGGAAGGGTCATGCCATAATCCCATGTCTTTCCATCTGCCCCTCCCTTTGGTATTTTGGGCAAATACACATATGTTCCTGGCATGTTTCTCAAACTGCCGGGGTTGGAACTCAAACTGTACAGTTGGTCATGTGGGATCAAGCTGCCTTCACCACTGTGCCACAGAACAAGCCCTAAAAACGAATTTTCTAATTTCCTACTCTATTCTCTTCCTCCCCTCAATTTATTTATTTTTTTTTTGAGAGAGATTTTTGCTATAGGGTGCGTGCGCTCGCCAGATAGACAGACAGAGACAGAGAGACAGAAAGCGAGAAATCACCCTCAGGGGCGGCGGCTATGCCGCAATCCCTTCTCTTCCATTCTTCTCTCGGGATCTTGGGCACGCACGCATGCACACATGCCCAGCATGAGTTTTAAGCCACCAGGTCCGGGACGCGAACCGCGGTCGACTACGTGGGAGTCCAGCGACATAGCCATTACGCTAACTGCTGGGCCCCCCCCCCAATATTTTTTTTTCTTTTTTGAGAGGTTTTTCGCTATAGGGCGCGTGCGCTTGCCAGACAGACAGAGACATAGAGAAAGAAAGCGAGAAATCACCCCCCCGGGGGGATGGCCACACCGCAATCCCTTCTCCTCCATTTTCTCGGGATCTTGGGCACACGCCCCCGACGTGAGTTTTAAGCCACCAGGTCCGGGACGCGAACCGCGGTTGACTACGTGGGAGTCCAGCGACATAGCCATTACGCTAACTGCTGGTTCCCTCTCTCAAATGTTTTTATACCAAGATAATCATGTCTAGGTAAATCGTAGTGCAGTAGGATCGCCTGCATTGGATCACCGGTGTCAAACTTATACGTTCATAAGTGCTAGTGGGCTTTCTGCATCAGAACCAAAAAGTGCCCACTGAAAGTTTGTCATAAAAACATTGCTTTATTCAGGGAGAAAGTTCTATGTTTACTTTTCTTTCAGTCCTTTATAATGATTTTTGATATTCATTATAACTCTTCCCCAAAGCATCTGGTAAATTGCTTCTATATTTTATTGACAGCTGACATCATTTCAACCGTTGAATTTAATTACTCTGGAGATCTTCTTGCAACAGGAGACAAGGGCGGCAGAGTTGTTATTTTTCAGCGGGAGCAAGAGGTCAGTAATTTATAATCCACAAACCAAATGAAATAATTCTACCTTTCTCATAGCACATTTAAGAAAGTTAGCAAAAAAATTTTTTTAGTGTCTAATTTCATTTATATCACATTAACCATATAGAATCTTCTTTTAAAAACTTAGAGAAGGACCAGCAGATGGCGTAGCAGTTAAGTTGCTGGACTCCCACCTGGCCGACCATGGTTCAAGTCCTGGACTCAGTGACTTTAAACTCAGCACAGGGTGCATGTACATGCATGTCCAAGATCCCAGGAGGAGTATGTAGGAGAAGGGATTGCAGCTTGGCCAGCCACCCTAGGGGGTGATTTCTCACTTTCCCTCTTACTGTCACTGTCTCTTTCTTCTCTTTGGTGAGCCCACACGCCCCAAGACAAAACAATTCTTTAAAAAAAAAAAAAATCTTAGAGATGAGCAAGAAGATCTGTATTTCAGTTCTGACCTTTAACCTCACTAAAATCTCACTGCTGACCCCAGTTAACTTTTCAGTGCCTTCATCTTCAGAATAGGAAAGAGAGTTCTTGTCCTTCCTACAGGTGGTAGTGTGGACCAAATGAAGGGTGAAGGGTGGTGGAGTTGGGATTTATGTGCTTTGTTTAACTAGTAGTTAAACTAAGGGGCTGTGAAAATCACTTTAGAAGTTAGCTTCCCTGCAATAAAGGAGGAGAGCAGTCTTTTGTTGTACTGTGAGCAGCTCTTACAGCACTTCCTGTAGAATTTTGGGGTAGGAGGCATGAATTCACTATCACACCCCCAGTTGAGAAATAGTTAGCATTCATTCATCTGTGCCTCCAGAAGTCTTCACCTGTTCTTAGGGGAAGGAACCTTCTAAGTGTGGGTCTTATTGGAATTCACAAATGAATCTCATTCAAAAGCAGTGGTTTTTAGATTGTATCTCCTTGTTTGAGGTAGAAGGGGGAGGCATTTCTTTTTAGTTATGCATAAGAGAATGGGAAATAGAACCAAACCTTTCCAGTCTTCCCCCCTTACGCCTTCTTCTGTCCCTCTCTCATTATTAATGGTGAGCTTCATCACAGTTCTTACTGAATGATGACAAAGAAAGAAATAACTATCTCTTATGCATGGATTCTGGGCAGGAATCCTAGTGCAGCCAAGCCTGGTGTCTGTAAAGTAATTGTCTTGCTCTTTCAAGATTAAAAAATAAACCCCTTTGCCCTTCCTATCTCTGTGTTTCCTAATAGATTAATAGTTGTTACTTTTTCACTCCCATATTCTAATCTCTAAATTTTTGTTAACTTTTAGATGCTAATGGGTCCTTATTTCCTTCCACCTAGATATTCTGTACATAGAAGTGGTTCTGTAGGAAGTGCTAACTCCTGCTACTGGAGAGGGGGACCCTGTGGGAAACCCTGGGCCACTGGGAGGCGTGAAAGAGTTCTTGTTCAATAGAAAAGATTAAATAGGTACTAAGAGACCTCATTATTAAGATATACCTGTTGGCAGCTCTTAATTTTGACTATGTTCATTAAAGATTTTTAAAAATCTTACATTCTCTGATTTGGAGTGGTAAATTCTTTTATGATATGTTTATTACTAATCTTTCTGAATTTTATCAGAAAATTAGAAAATTTAACAGTTTTGCATTCCTGTCATAGAGGTAGACTAGCACATAATGCTACTTAAGAACCATATACTTGGGACAAGCAGATGCTGTTAATGGTTACATCACTGGGCTCCCATGTAGTGGACCATGGTTCAAGTCCTGGACCCGGTGGCTTAAAACTTAAGCCGGGCTTATATGTGTATGTGCCTAAAATCCCAAGAGGAAAATAGAAGAGAAGGGATTGGGGTGTGGACATTCCCCCACGGGGTAAGTTCTTGCTTTCTGTCTTTCCAGTGAGCACATGTATCCTATAGCAAAAGTCTCTCAAAACAAAACAAAACAAAACAAAACATATACTTTACCTTTTTCAAAAGAAGATAAATGGTAGTACTTAATAATTACTTTTAGCAGGAATATTTAACAAATACTCAGCTCTATTGAATTTAAGACTTCTTGTCCCTTAAAAAAAAATGCTTGCTGGGGCCTGCAGGTGTTATACTGGTTAAAGCACTGGACTTCCACATGACTGACCGTGTTCAAACCCCAGACTCAGAGGGTTGAAACTCATGCCAGGTGCATGTGTGTGCATGCCCAAAATCCTAGGAAGAACCGAAAGAAAAGGGGTTACAGTGTGGCCATCCCCCCTGGGGGGGGGGATTTCTTGCTTTCTGTCTTTCCAGCGAACACATGTGCCCTATAGCAAAATTCTCTCCCTTATTAAAAATAAAATTGCTATTGAGGCTGCCTCTGTGATGCAGTGGTAACTCACTGCTCAAGAGAAGCCAGATTCCACATGATGACTGTAGTTCAAATCCCTGACCCAGTCAGCCTGAAACATGCCAAGTGTGCACTAGTGCCCAGGGTCTGAAAGGCTGGAGAAGGGGTTTATGACATTGTACACCCTGTATAAGGTGCCCATCTCTTTTACATACATACACACATGCACTGTGTCATGAGTAAAGAAAAATGTTTGCCATTGTACTGGTATACTCTTTTTTTTTTTTTTTTTTAATTTGGGATTTGGGGCATGCATGCATGCATGCACACACACCTGACATTTTTTCAAGCCACCAGCTCTGGGACTCAAACTGCACAGTTGGCCATGTGGAATCTAGCCACCTTAACAGCTGTGCCACCTAGCTGGCTCTGCAGTGATATATCCTTGTGAAAGGAAGTTATCTATCCATTGACCTAGGATCTTAGGACAGAAAATTATTATTATTATTATTTTGGTGTGTGTATTATTATTTAAACTTTACAAAGTACTAGCTTCAAATATAAAATAAATTGATAAAAGTCAAGTATCTTGACTGTTACAGAATTTTAAATATTAAGATATATTAAGATAGTATGTGGGAACCAGCAGTTAGCGTAATGGCTATGTCGCTGGATTCCCACGTAGTCGACCGCGGTTCGTGTCCCGGACCCAGTGGCTTAAAACTCACGCCGGGCGCGTGTGCGTGCGTGCCCAAGATCCCGAGAGGAGAATGGAGGAGAAGGGATTGCGACGTGACCATCCCCCCTGGGGGGTGATTTCTCGCTTTCTGTCTCTATGTCTCTGTCTGTCTGTCTGGCGAGCGCACGCGCCCTACAGTGAAAATCTCTCCAAAAAAAAAAAAAAAAAGATAGTTTGTGAAGTGACTAATTTATCTAGGAACAGGTCCACATTTTTCTTATTTTGGTTAAAATAAAGGCCTTAATACTCTCATCTACTTTTTAGATCTTTGTCTTGCCATGTATGAAGAAAAAAACATTACATCTTACACATATGGAGGATTGCTGAAGGATAGTGCCCCACTAGATTGTGGAAAGTATCGGACATTAGATTAAGGAGTCAGGTCCATAAAGACCTGTTGGAAAGTTTTGACTGCAGAAGTCATGCGGTAGGAAGTACAGTTAGCAGTTTGATTTTTGAGCTTTCTTATTTTTAATGGCAGAATGCTCTGTTCATTTAAGTCTTACAAAGAAGCCCAGTATGTAAAAAATAAGACAGTTTAGAGATGCTCTCCCTACCCTCAGAAATCAGCTGTGCAGTCTGCTTATGCCTTGGGACTCTCCAAGATCTGCAGCTCCTATGTCCAAATACAGAATCAGCTTTATTTGAATAGTTCATCTAGTTAAATCAGAAATCAACATGTCTAAAACCAAAATAAGCCCTCCACCTTCTCCCTTTCCTGTTTGTTATCCTGTTCGTTATCCTGTTCCCAGTTGTTCAGGCCTCCAGCCTGTCCTCCCTCCTTCTTCAGTTCCAGCAAAGCCTCTCTCAGAATCCCCTTCTGTAGAGAGGGTGGGCACTCCATGCAGACTTGGGACTGACCTGAGATGTAGGGATGTTGGAGAAGACTGAGGGGCCGCTTGGTGTGTGGGTAGTCAGTTGGGGGGAAAGTGTGCATCTTGACCTAGTTGTCTAATTCTTGGGGAGAATGGCCAGGGTAGCACTTTGACTTGGTCATATTATTCATTTCTATGTATTCTTCTGCTTTTTCTTGGTATCAGTGTCTTAGGAAAGGGACTAACTTGATTTTATACATTTTTTTCCTAAAATAATTCAATTTCATTTTTCTCCTTTGTAAATTAGAACTATGTGTTGTTATATGGGAATTGGTACAGAGAAAGAGCAATTTAAATAGCATTACTCTCCTACCACAACACTTAATGAAAATTATATAGTAATGAAATTTCCAAGTTTCTGATGAATGCTTGATTTCAAGGAATGTATAATATATAACAATTCAGTGCAGCAGAGAACTTTGGGTAGTTTTGGGGAATGTCCTATCATATTTTATAATTCAGAAATATAAAACACCTGTTTAGAAGTAAAAGTTTGTTTTGTTCAGTTTCTTTGGCATACACACTAAAAAGTTAGAAATGTAAGATTTTAGTTTCAACTATGGTGGCATGCATCGTATATAAGCTAGTACCAAATGGGAGGTCCAGGTTCCATTCCTGGTCCAACTTAGAGACCAGGTGTGATTGTGTACACCTGCAGTCTCAGTGATTAGAGGAAACTGAGACAGGAGGATTACCTGCTCAGGGCTGGCTTGGGGGAACATAGAGAGTCCTGTCTAAAATTTTTAAAAAGTCGGCATGGTGGCACATGCTTACACAGTCCCAGCTGGGAGACTGAGGCAGGAGGATCAGCACAAGACAATAAAACGTAAGGTATTGATTATACTTATACAATTAAAACACTAGTGTCCTTGATTTTTAATTATAAAGTACAATAATTAATGCTTCATAAAAAATGTTCCTTTAGGGACTAGCAGATGGTGTACCAGTTATGTCACTGGACTCCCACATAGTCAACCACGGTTCCAGTCCTGAACCTGGCAGCTTAAAACATGCTGGGTGTGTGTGTGTGCGTACCTAAGATCCTGAAAGGAGATTGGAGAAGGGTCTGTGGTGTGGCCATTGCCTTTGGGGGATGATTTCTTTCTGTCTGTCTGTTGAATGAGTGCACACACCCTATTAAAAAGAAATCTCTCTTTAAAAAGTTATTTTAAACATACAGATTTCAGAGATTAATATATTGACAAATATACCTGCGAATTTGCTGCCCAGATTATAGTTTTACATATAAGGAAAGGAAACTCTTGGGATGTAGATGAAGCTCCTTTTGTACCACTCCCTCATGTCATTCTTCCACTTTGCTCCCCAGTCTTACTTTCCCTCTACCTTCTCAGAGCCTCATTATTTTATAAACGATAATGTATCTTCCTTAGCATATTTTTCTACTTTTATCATAGTTAAACATTTACATAAGCAGTATTTTACTGTGGCTATCTTTATGTAGCTTGCATCTCTCTCTTTTTCATCTCTCTCTAGAGGGTGCATGTTTTCACTAGAGAAGGACAGAGAGCAAGAGAAAGCAAGAAGACACCCTCCCCATGGGACATGGTCATGCCACAATCCCTTCTCCCTCCTTCTCTTTCTTCTTTTAGTATTTTGGGCATGCATACACACATGCCTGGTATGTTTTTCAATCCACCGAGTCTAGGACTAGAAGCCCACAGTCAGCTAGGTGGGATCCAGCTGCCTTAACCACCGTGAGCTGACCCTGGCAACTTGGCTTCTCTTATACAACTTTGTAGGATTTTTCCATATCGGTTTATTTATTTTAACTGTTATGTAGTAGTCATTGCATGGCTGTGCCACTGAACCATTTTTCCTTCCTCATGCCCTTCTTGGCATATGCTTAGTATCTGGTTTACCAATATAGATGATGTAACCACATCTCTGTGTCTGGCTCCTGGTGTACTGCGTGGCTCTTCTCTGGAGTAGGCCCTGAAGATGCTTTTATCTCCAGGACCAAATGGCAAAGGTTTTTTGCCTCTACAGGTCTCTTTCACAACTATTCATCTCTGCCCAGGGGATACACACACCACTAGAGATGATACATACACAAATGAGCCTGACTGTATTCCAGTCAAACTTTACTTATACACAGGAGGCTGAATTTGACACATCATGTTCTAGAATAGATAATAGATACCTAGAAATAGAATAGACTAGCTGAATTGGAAAGTTAAGTTTATAATTATGAAATAAAAACAAAGTACAAAAAAAGTAGAATAGAAGGGTTGAGAAATATTTTTCTTCTTTATTTTTTCTAAGTAAATTAATTTTAAGTGTTAGATGTTTGAAACTCTTGTGAACCAGAATTTTTAACTTTTAAAAAAGTGTGTCATTTGATACTCAAATTGGTAGTGCTAGAATTTTCTCTGCACTATGCTTTGTTCATTAAAATAGCTGTCATTGTTTCCTTGCAGAATAAAAGCCGCCCTCATTCTAGGGGAGAATATAATGTTTACAGTACCTTTCAAAGTCATGAACCAGAATTTGACTATTTGAAAAGTTTAGAAATTGAGGAAAAAATTAATAAAATTAGGTGGTTACCGCAACAGAATGCTGCTCATTTTCTGCTCTCTACAAATGGTAAGTAGATAATTGATATACTATTTTACTTTTCATTTTCCGTGTATGGATTTCTTTTTAATTTAATCCATTCTAGGAGTTATTTCTGTTTTAAACTTTGGTGGGGAGGGTAAATTATTAGCTAGGGTAGCAAGTGATAGTTCGGTTGAAAATTTAAAGTGTGAATCTACACATAGACTATTACAGTACTCTTCTCTGAATATGTTTCTGCATCTTTTTATATAAAACAACGTGTTTATTTGTAATTGGAAATATGTTCAGAGAGCCTTTATTTTATAAACATGATAAAGAGTCACAGAGTTTTCAAATAATAGTTTTTAAGTAATAGTGATGTATGTTGTGGTTTTCTTTTAATATGGAGAATGAGGTTTTCATTTTCAGATAAAACTATAAAATTATGGAAAATAAGTGAACGGGATAAGAGAGCAGAAGGTTATAACTTGAAAGATGAAGATGGACGACTTCGAGATCCATTTAGAATTACAGCACTACGGGTATATGTTACATTTTCTTTAATCTGTTAATACCTTAAGAAATGAATTAATAGTAATATTTAGACCAGCTGTTTAAAGAATACTGTTAAGAGAAATACCATATGATCTGCCTTATTGATTTATGAAAGTCATTTATAATATTAGTAATCACTTTTATGCATACATGTTTAAAATAGGGAATTCTTCCCATTTTCAGAAATGAAAAAAGTTAACTCGATATTCTCAGAAAACAGTAATACTAAGGAAAAAAACATTCAGTTCATAATAAAAGTCTTTCTGAATGCATCAGCCGCCTTTCACTCTAAAAGTTCAGAATATCATCTGGGCAGATTGAATTTCAAATAGAGCTCAGACTACTATACCGTGAAAGAGCATAGACTATAAATTAAAAGATAACTATGGACCCCAGGATACATTAATGATACTTTCTAGTACAATCCCTCTGAATTAGCTTAGGCAAATTCTGATATTTCTTTTTTTTTTTTTTCTTTTGCCTATTAACCATTTAACATTTTTTTAAATTGCCAGTTCTTCATTCCTTTTTTACTACCTCCAGGTGCAGTATGAAATGACTATATTCTATCAGTTCTAATATTTTATGCAGGACCAACGCCATACTAAAATGTTTAAACATTATACATTGGACGCTGTATCCTATATAATCAACAATGGTTTGAGTCCCAGCCCCAACAGCTTGAAAAACATGCTGGATGTGTATATATGCATGCCCAAAATCCTGACAGGATGGAGACATGGAAAAGAAAGGATTCTGGCATAAATATTCCTCATTCAAAATTCCCTCTCTCTCTCTCATTCTGATGAATGTACACACCCTCGTGGCAATTTAAAAAAATACCTATTTGGAAAATTGGGTAAAACTTAAAATCTTAGCATCACATAATTGGCCTGGCAGTGCATGCCATTGCTGGTATTTTAAAATTGGTTAAAATATGGTAAAGGGGGTTAAACAAACTTGGCTTGTGCTCAGATATGTCTTGAAAAGACTCCAGGAGTGCTGCCATGGACAAGACTGCAGCAGGAAAATTAGCACCTGTTCAGAGGTATTTCATGAATGAAAATTTTTACTAGTCCCAGGGAAGAAAGTATATATCTGAAAATGGTTTGTTGGTTGATAGGTTGTTGTTGTTGTTGTTGTTTTTAAATGAGTTTTACAGTTTCCTTTAAGTAAGCTGCTGATACTGTGCCCTGAGGACATGCATTTAGTCCTGCTTCCTTTTTGTCCTGTTTCTACCACTCCCTCTTACCCTCCTCTCTCAGGAGTTTAGGCTTTTTAATTAGACCTAGACCATGCCATGAGCTCACTGCTTATTTTGAAAAAAACAAACAAACAATAAGTCTTACTAAGCCCAATCTTGTCTTTATTCAAGGCTGCTTTTATAGCCATAACCTGAATTAAAAACCCGTCTTGGGACTGGCAGGTAGTGTGGTTATTGAAGCCGGGTGGCCAACCATGATTCGAGTCCCACAATTGGTGGCTTGCTTCCTCACGTTCCCTGCCTGTATCTCTCTGGTCAAATTTTAAAATAATAATAATAAACTAAATTTTAAAATTCTTTAAAAAAAAAAAGGAAAGTCTTAATCAGTAGCAAATGAGAAATAAGGGTTTTTTTGAGAGGTTTTTTCTTTGTTTGTTTTTTGCTATAGGGCTTGTGCACATGCCAGAGAGACAGAGATAGAATGTGAGATCACCCCCCAGGAGAGATGGCCACGTCGCAGTCCCTTCTCCTCCATTCTCCTCTCAGGATCTTGGGCACACACGCGCCCAGCATGAGTTTAGGCCACCGGGTCCAGGACTTGAACCATGGTCAGCTCCATGGAAGTTCAGTGACATTGCCATTACACTAACTGCTGGTCCCAGAAATAAGCTTATTTTTTTTTTAATCTCAGGGTCTGGGTAAGAGATCACAGACTGGATGATTCTTTATATTGGCTTATATCTACATTTGAGTTCTTACCTGTCTAAAAGTTCAAAATGGACTGTTTGTCACATTTAACAGGATAACCGTCAAATTTTACTGTTTCTTAACATTTTTTCTTGCTATTTTAGTGCCAGAAATAGGATTTAATGAAAAGAAAAAAATCTCACAAGTATTTTAGCCATCATGTGTTTTGATTAATTAGAAACTTGTTAGAGGGCCATGGCAGTTGTATGTTCTTAATCCTACATAAAGTAAAACTGACACTTCTTTTTCTAGAGAATCCAAAGGTGTAGTCAACACTAATTGGCTTAAAATGAGGGAAGTAATGTCTATGCACAGTTCTCAAGTTCATTTTTACAGAATTTGGCCAGAGAATACTCAGTTAAGAGATTTCTTCCTAGCTTTCAAGACTGGCCCTTTGGTTTCTTTATGCTCTTTTCTCCCCTCTAATTTGCCAAAGGGTGTGTTTGCTCGCAAGAGAGAAGGAAAAGGAGAAAGACTCTCTGCTGTAGGAGTGGCCATAATGACAATCCCTTCTCCTCCATTCTCCTTTTAGGATTTTGGGCATGCATACATGCACACATACCTAGTTTCTTTTTCTTTTCTTTTCTTTTTTTTTTTTTTTTTTTTTTTTTTTTTTTTTTTTTTTTTTTTTTTTTAGAGAGGTTTTTGCTATAGGGCGCATGTGCTCGCCAGACAGAGACAGAGAGATAGAAAGCGAGAAACCACCCCCCAGGGGGGATGGTCACGCCGCAATCCCTTCTCCTCCATTCTCCTCTTGGGATCCTGGGCATGCATGCACACGCGCCCGGCGTGAGTTTTAAGCCACCAGGTCTGGGACGCGAACTGCGGTTGACGTGGGAGTCCAGCGACATAGACATTACGCTAACTGCTGGTTCCCGCCTAGTTTATTTTTCAAGCCTTCAGGTCCAGGACTTGAACTGCACAGTCAGCCGTGAAGACCCAGCCACATTAATCTTTACACTGCCGGCCAGCCCTTGGTTTCTAATTACAAAAATAAAAAGAATACTTATTTCTTTTCTATTCTTTTCTTTCTTTTTTTTTTTTTTTTTTTTTTTACATTTTTGTCACAGAGGACATGTGCTCACCAGAGAGGGAAAGTGAGAAATCACTGCCCAGTGTGGGTGGCCATGCTGCAATTCCTTTTCCTCCATTCTTTTGGGATTTCGGTTATGCCCACACACACACCTTGTTTTTTCTTCTTCTTTTTTTTTGGGGGGGGCGGGGGTTAGGGGCTTGCTCCGGAGAGACAAAGAGACAGAAAGTGAGAAATCACCTCCCGTAGGGGTGGCCACACTGCAGTCCCTTCTCCATTTTCTTCTTGGGATTTTGGGTACACATGCACATGTGCTTAGTATTAGTTCAAGAATCAAACCGTGGTCAACAACATGGGAGTCCAGTGACATAACCATTATGCCATCTGCTGGTCCCCACGCACCCAGTTTTTTAAGATGCCTGGTTTAGGACTCAAACTGCAGAGTCACCTATATGGAATCCAGTGCCTTAACCTTATACCACCTACTGGCCCCTTTAAGTTTTAGTTTCTAATTTAGAGTTAGTTTCCTTCTAACTAGATGTTAGTAAAGTGCAGACCTTTTTCCATTCTTATGACACTATTGTTCAAGACCGTGCTCTTGCCCTTCATCTGGTCACAGCCCTCTGGCCAGTGTTCCTTTCTCTATCTTTTCCATTACAGCATAGACATCTTATTCCTTAGGAAGCTCAGATATGTCTTGAAAAGAAGAAGAAGGGAGGGAGGTGCCTTTTTTTTCTTTTAAACATTGAATGAAGTGTAATATACATGTCCCTAAATGCATCTCCCTTGTAAGTAACCAGCTCCATGGATTTTTACAGACTGTATACCCTTGTGTATCCAGCAGTAGTTCAAGAAACAGCATCTTCAGCTTCTCAGGACCCTTTCCTGTACACTCAGCCACTCTCTGCACTATTGTCAGAGGCTCGTGGTGTTTGTCCTGAGAGAGGACAAAGGGAGGGTCTTGACTGAGTCTCCCAAGAAGACTTACTGTCCAGTGTCTCAGTCTTGGTCACTGGGGGGATATATGGGACAGTGAAGCTACATGATTAGACCTCAGTGCCCTGGAGGCAGTTTATAAAGGTGTCAGTTGTTCTTCTTTCTTCAGCAAGTGTGTGTCAACAACCTGAGTAATAGAAACAAGGAGAGGGGCCAGCTCTGTGGCATGGTGTTTAAGGTGGCTAGATCCCACATAACTGACTTAGTGTTCAAGTCCCAGACCCATTGGCTAGAAAAATGCCAGCCACATATGCATCCATGCCCAAAATCTCAAGAGGAGAGTGGAGAAGGGATTGTGGCATGATCATCTCCCCTAACAGTGCTCACTCGTTTGTCTCTCTCTCTCTCTCTCTCTGTTTCTCTGTTTGTCATCCTCCAGTGAGCATATGCACTCTAATTAAAAGAAAAAATTAGAAACAAGGAGGAAAACCTGGAAATAGATAATATTCAGTTTTATAGCCTATTTTTACAGCTTTAATTGGTTATTTTGGGGGTGTTACCTGTATAAAACTGTTACTTAACTCTATATTGGGTTGTTGGAAAAGGCATGACACATTTTTGCATAGAATAGCATAGAAAAACGTGTCATGACTTTTCTGAAGACCCAATAGACTTGCCTCCTTTTGTTATCTACTGTAAATAATATAATTTGATACTGCTGTGGTCTTTGTTTTGAATTCTTATTTCCTTCTATTCGTAGGTCCCAATATTGAAGCCTATGGACCTTATGGTAGAAGCAAGTCCACGACGAATCTTTGCAAATGCTCACACATATCATATAAATTCCATTTCAGTAAATAGTGATCATGAAACATATCTTTCTGCAGATGACCTGAGAATTAATCTGTGGCATTTAGAAATCACAGATAGAAGTTTTAGTATCCTTTATCAGATGAGTATCTTGGCATTTATCCTAGGTTTGTTCTTCAGATAGTATTTTCTCTAGTACATTAATACTCCTATATCTCAGAGTCTGATCTTTTAAATACTGCTTACTATATAGTAGTCTATGATTTAAAGAGTCTCTAAAAATATGTACATCTTCCTACCTTTGAGAAAAGTTCTCTATATATAATGGGAATGACCTGAAGCCCATTGCTTGCTTAGTTTAATCAGAGACAGTTTTAAATAGTTTTATTTGAAAAATCAACATTGAATATTCTTTTTTCCTCCCCTAAATTTGCTAATAGATAATACAAACTATTGACTAGATTAGAATGGTGCTTAATTTCCCAGTTTGAGAAGTGACTGATCAGGTAAGAGTTCTGTGTTCTTCTATGGCTCTGCATACTCTGGACATTAGTCTGGGCAGTTACAGTCCTCCTCACCTGTCTAGCCCTCCCTTGGACTCCTTCTGTAAGTACAGTTGTCTGAATATGCCTTGGTGTCCTTGTCTTCCTAATTAACTGTCTAAATCCTGTCCTGCTGTGCCATTTGGGAATCTCTGACTCAAGAGCTCAGGACTCTGTCCTCTCACCATTGAAGATAGTTCTGTCCTCAGCCTCGGAGAGTTGCCTCACATACATGCATTATTCAGTCTTCAACTGAATATACCTCCTTGGTCTCAGGGGTCCATGTTCCAGGAACTGCAGTCTGGTGCTCAGTCCTTTAAAACTCTAGCAGCCTGAACTTTTCTAGACTCCCAGCTCTGTCTTCTCAACTCTGGGAGTCATCAAACTGTGCCTATACTCTGGACACTTCCCAGACAGCATGTTGGGCAGCTGTGGGGCTCCCTTTGTCTTCATTCTCTCTGGGGTCACTGCCCTTCTCTGTATAGTATCGTTACTTGAGCTATAGTTCCACCGTTCATTAGTATTCTTAGTTGTTTCAGCTAGAAGGGTAAATACATTTGGTCCCCATTATTCCACATTGACCCTAAGCTGAAGCCTCCCCTTTCCCTCTCTTGTTTTCAATCAAATAATTTATGTATTTGCAACCATTATTTTAACCATTCAGAATAAGCTCTTAATGTCAGATCATTAGAAAAGCAAAATCTTTTGGAATTTGGCAGTATTTTTGTGTTTGTAATTGTTTATAGATAGGAGTACGGGGTTTTGTGCAAGTATTTGGTGCTTATTGATTTATTTTATTAAATATGTACTGTCTTGCTATTGGACCTTTCATAGAACATTAGTAGTAACAACATGTGGCTCTGTGGATCTACCCCCTCAGTCAGGCACGTTATGTAGTCTTATTAATGCATTCATCTAAATCCTCTTACCAGTGTGCTCCTTTGGAATATAATCCATAGTATAATTGGCTTCTTTACATCTAATCTCTTAAACCTTACTGTGGATTATTTCATATCATATTTCATTTAATTGAATATAGACCCATCTGAGTACTGTGCCTTAACAATGCACTTCCAGACATCGTAGATATTAAGCCTGCTAACATGGAGGAGCTGACAGAAGTCATTACCGCAGCAGAGTTCCACCCACACCAGTGTAACGTGTTTGTCTACAGTAGCAGTAAAGGGACCATCCGACTATGTGATATGCGTTCCTCAGCCCTGTGTGACAGACACTCAAAGTGTAAGTGCCCAGTGTTTTTTTTTAGCAAATGTCTCATTTAAATCCTTTTGTTTTTCAGACACTAGCTCATCTCCAAAGACTTTGAGGTTTCTTTCTGTTCTCCATGTACCTGTGGAAGCATAGAGAACCCTACATTTATTTACTTAGTCCAATTTTGGCTCTGTCTTAGGCCATTGCTAGTAATTGGAATGCAAGGTCATGATTCTCATGGGCTTATTACTATTGTGGGGTGAGTGCTTTTGGCACCAGTAGGTTTACTTCTGCCCAGAGCCTCGGTGCCTCATCAGAGGGCTTCCCAAACTGGGTCCAGACAAGAACCATTTGTTGCCTCTACCTTTGTGCATTAGGACCTGGGCTGAGGCCGCCAGCTCACATTTCACCTGTGACCATTTTCAGCTTTCGGAATGAGCTCTGTTCATACTGAGCTTTGTTGGATTGGAAGCCAGTTTCCTGAGGTGACAGTCTAGCGTTTTAATCCACTGAGCCTTGAAGTTCCTTCTAGGTGAGGAAAGTTTTGGTTTTGTTTTTATTTTTAGTCATAAAGGATAGGCCCTACTTTATAGAAAACTATAGTCTCTGTGTCATGTGACATGCATCCTGGAAAAGTTGCGTCCTTTCCACCAGTGTCAACAAGTAGAACCGTGACCTCTGCCACTTTATCTAACAAGGAAGTTACTGGTCATCCCCTTCAGTATGTCTCACCATATAAAGTGTACCAACACCAACAAATATGTTTGCTAACTAGTTCTCAACAACCTTTTTGTCTTACTTTCTTGCTTAAGACTAAAGTGTGTTTTTAAGAATTCTGTACTCTCATTAGAATTTCCACAGTGAAGAATATGTTTTTATAACATTTTATCTATATCTTAAAGATAACGTTCTTGAGTGAATAATTTTAGATTCTAAGTTTTTTTTCCCCTCAGCAAAGCAAATTGTTTGAGTAAAATGCTTGATGTTCACACCAGATGACTTAAAGTTAACTTTTAAATGCAGAACCAATACACAGGCTCTTTCATTAAGAAAAAAGAGGGAAAAGATACAACAGCTAAATAACAGGAGCGCATCTCTCTTGCCCTGAAATTTAACAATGCCAAAGGCAGGACCACCCTGTGTTAAGAGAATCCAGTGTAGATCAGAGGGTGCTTCCCTTTGTATCAGGTACAGGTGGAAGGAACTCTACCAAGCTACCATGGAGAAAGCCAAGCCCTAGAAAAGCAAGGTCCACCAAGGATCTGTCAAAATCTTTTTGAAAATAAGGATTTAGCTTTCTCACAGTAGACCATGACTATTTGGTATTAAAGA